GTCGCGTTCGGGGAAGCTGGTACGTCAGATACGTACCCTGCACTTTCCAGCTGTCCACAATTGCCCATTTACGCGTCGTCCGTTTTGGGCAAAGCGCCACTTTACGCGCTGACCCCTGACGCGATTCCCCCTGGCGACGTGGATGGGGCCCTCTAGTAATTTCATCCCACTCCCAGTTCTCCCCGTTTCTACATTCCCCCCCTCTTCTTCACAACCGCTTTTGTCGATTCTGTCGCAAGCTTTCGCAGTCTAGAAGGATAGTCGATCAAGTTCACAACCCCTTCTTGACACACCGCCGCTATGAGGTAAGCCTCGCGATATCGCTCCCGTCAGCTCTTGCAAGAGTCGCTCCACTCTTGGGCACAAGGAAAAGACTTGATCGCTAATCGCTCGTACAGTTCTCCCCTCCGAAGCAACCCCAGCTCTGCCAACAGAGGACTGGCCACACAATCAAGTCGCAAGCGTGGTCGCACAAATGGCGACGATGGATCATCAATCGGCCCTGCTTCGAGCCCTATGCCGTCATCGCCTCCTGCTCCTTTCATGGCACATGGTGGGGACGACGACGAGGACATTGAGGACGAGGCAGAGATTCAGGATGACTTGGACGAGCTTGACGAAATGGCCGAAGACGAAGTTGACCTTTTCCGAGAGGGGTTCGAAGTAGACTACAGAGCTAGGGATGATGATGGATATGAAGGGATCGACATCGACGACGAGGGCGAATATGGAGACATGGACCTAGCCGCGAGAAGACGGCTCGAGGCCACGCTCAACCGCAGAGACCGAGAAGTCGCTCGACGCCAACGAGTCCCTGCTGCTTTCCTGCCTGGGGAAGACGACGAAGGCGACATTGACCTCTCCGCGCAGCCTCGACGCCGGCGCCATCGCTACGATGAGGACCCTGATGAAGACATGGATGCCGACATTATGGATGAAGAGCTTTCTCTCGAGGCCCTGCAGGATGTCAAGGCAGCTAGTCTGACGGAATGGGTGTCCCAACCCTTTGTGCAACGCACCATCAAGAGAGAATTCAAAGCTTTCTTGACAGAGTACACCGACGACCACGGCTCCTCTGTCTACGGAAACCGCATTCGTACCCTTGGTGAGATCAACGCTGAGTCTCTCGAAGTCTCTTACGAAGAACTCTCCACATCCAAGGCAATCCTTGCCTACTTCTTGGCCAACGCACCCTCTGAGATGCTCAAGCTCTTCGATGAGGTTGCCATGGACGTCGTACTCCTTCACTACCCCGACTACGAGCGTATTCACTCCGAAATCCACGTCCGCATTTTCGACCTTCCCGTTCACTACACCCTGAGACAGCTTCGTCAATCACACCTGAACTGTTTAGTCCGTGTCAGCGGAGTCGTCACGAAGAGAACCGGCGTCTTCCCTCAGCTCAAGTATGTCAAATTCGATTGCACCAAGTGCGGTGTCACACTCGGCCCATTCCAACAAGAAGCCAACACCGAGGTCAAAGTCTCGTACTGCCAAGCCTGCCAGTCTAGAGGCCCGTTCACACTGAACTCTGAGAAGACGGTCTACCGCAACTACCAGAAGCTTACACTTCAGGAGTCGCCCGGCACAGTCCCGGCAGGTCGCTTGCCTCGCCACCGAGATGTCATCCTTCTTTGGGACCTCATCGACAAGGCCAAGCCTGGTGAAGAGATTGAGGTGACTGGTGTTTACAGAAACAACTACGACGCTCAGTTGAACAACAGAAACGGGTTCCCTGTTTTCGCCACTATCCTGGAAGCAAACAATGTTGTCAAGTCCCACGACCAGCTTGCAGGGTTCCGCATGACTGAAGAGGATGAGAACGAGATCCGCAAGTTGTCTCGCGAACCCGGCATCATCGAGAAGATCATTAACTCCATGGCGCCGAGCATCTACGGCCACAATGATATCAAGACTGCCGTGGCTCTGTCCTTGTTTGGAGGTGTTGCCAAAGTAGGACGAGGCTCTCACCAGGTCCGTGGAGACATCAATGTTCTGTTGCTGGGTGATCCCGGTACGGCGAAGTCTCAAGTTCTCAAGTATGTGGAAAAGACGGCCCATCGAGCCGTTTTTGCTACGGGACAGGGAGCCAGTGCCGTTGGTTTGACAGCCAGTGTTCGCAGAGACCCTTTGACGAGCGAGTGGACTCTCGAAGGTGGCGCTTTGGTGCTTGCCGACAAGGGTACCTGCCTGATTGACGAATTCGACAAGATGAATGACCAGGACAGGACGTCGATCCACGAAGCCATGGAGCAACAGACTATTTCCATCTCCAAGGCCGGTATCGTCACGACTCTTCAGGCGCGCTGCGGTATCATTGCTGCAGCCAATCCTATTGGTGGGCGGTACAACTCAACGATCCCCTTCTCCGCCAACGTCGAACTCACAGAGCCCATCTTGTCTCGTTTCGACATTCTTTGCGTCGTCCGGGATACAGTTGAGCCTGAAGAGGACGAGCGTCTTGCTCGCTTCATTGTTGGCTCTCACAGCCGCAGTCACCCATCGACATCACAGCCCGGTGAGGATTCGATGGATGTTGAGCACGAGTCAGAGAACCAGGAGACGCAAGCAGAATCGCAAAGGAAGGAGGGTGAGATCCCTCAGGAACTTCTCCGCAAGTACATTTTATACGCGCGCGATCGCGTGAGTCCCAAGTTGTACAACATGGACGAAGACAAGGTCGCGCGTCTGTTCGCCGATATGAGAAGAGAATCCCTGGCAACTGGCGCGTATCCCATCACGGTAAGTTTTTTTTTCCGATTGATGACCCGATACAACAAATCAACTAACGTCACTACAGGTGCGTCATCTCGAAGCCATTATCCGTATTAGCGAGGCCTTCGCAAAGATGAGACTTTCGGAGTACTGCAAGGCGGAAGACATTGACAGAGCCATTGCCGTAACTGTCGAAAGTTTCGTTGGAAGCCAGAAGGTCAGCTGCAAGAAGGCATTGGCACGCGCATTCGCCAAGTACACACTGAACAAGCCTGGTTCCCAAAGGAGGGCTGGCGCTGGAAGTCAAGCGTCGAGACGAGCGGGTGCAGTCCGAGCTTAAGCTGCTGATTCTATTTTGAGAGCTATGATGTTGTGCATTTAATCACCATGGGCGGACCTTTACGTGTACTGGCACGGCAGGCTGGCGGCGATCGGCGCAGAGGCCAGGCGCATGTGTCCTGGGGAGGGTGTTTGATAGATGATATCAGGATTTTGTAAGCAGTGGCTTCTTTCTTTCATGGTCACGGAGTAATGAAAAAACAAACGAGTTGAAAAGGTTCCCACGTGTAGGCACTGCGCCGCACGATCTGGTGGAAGAGGGCAGCAAATCGTTGATCGTCTGTAATCTGATAGCTATCTTGAAGCGGTGACAAGAGGAATATACCAAGACCCTTAATCGAAAGGTACACTACAGCAAGCGGTGGGCGAATTAGCTTGATTAGGACGATTCCGCCGCGGTGGGATGGTCCAAATTAGAAACAACATGGAGGAGTATGCGGCATCATGCAGGTGACGAGAACGTGTGGTGCACGACTTGGAAGTTGGATCACGAACGGCAAGCCGCAGCCACACAGCCTCGCTCTATCACCCTCCATCGAGCAGCTCCTGCATCGTACGCTACATGAGCTCAAACCGTTGGATGAGCGCAAGTTGGGAGGATGTGGGGGGCATGTTCTTTGAACACATTGTTACACTCGAACCATGTGCGTCATGTTCGTCTCCCTTGCATCGGCCTCGTCTCTAGAAAAAGAAGAGTCTGACAAGGTTCCACGACTCCAACCAACAAAGCCAAGCCTTCATTCCGGGATGCGGCCACCCTGGGCGACCCGACCAACAGTTTCTCCATTGTTGGCTTCATCCACGCCGCGATCCAGACTTGCCACCTCCCGGACATTATGCAGGTTTGGGCGGCGGTGACCCTCGCTTCTTCCGCTTGTAGCCCTCTCGAACCCCCCTTCTCTCCGTCAGCTCATGCACGGTTGCTTGAGAAAGCTAGCCTTCTTTTTTGCTCAGCAAACAACCCCTGACCGAGCTCCGTCATGTTAGGTGAGAGCGAGAATAACCTCTGCCATAGAGGATCATCATACGTCTCCGAGGATCCGCGCCGGCTTCTTGCATCTGCTACCTTGATTCCCTGCGAGTCTGAAGCAGTGATCTTCAACACGACAGGCGTGGTTGGCCAGCGGGATGGAGTTGACAGCAATTACCAGTCGAGGCTCTCACATATGAAGAAGTCTTCTGCCTCGTCGATCGCACCTGCCTTTTCGACCGAAGCCGCAAGCTGAGGTTGGTTTAATCTCACGAAGAACCAGCTGCAGAGAAGCCTCTCTCCCCCTTCCAACTAATACATTTTGTTTCAAGTTTCAACTGCTTCCTCATATCTCTCCCTGTTTCCGCCTTCCGTCTCACAGACATCACAAGGTCTCATACGCACCATTCTATTCTTTTTCTGCGTGCCAATTTTGGTCTCCCTGTGCACCCATTTGCGGTCCGCGTCCCAGAAGGGTCCCCCTTTGAACTCTGTCAAGCTCCTGTCGCAGGAAACGTAACTAGACGACGACAAACGGCTCAAACACCCAGTTAACAATATCTCCAAAACACGTCCTCACGAGTCTCCTGTAGCACACTCTGATTTGTTTGCGCCGTGTCACGTCTTGTGCTACTCAACAAGAAGACTGTACGCGAGGCAATCACGGCTCCGACGGAAGTTAGCATCCGTCACGCCTGGACGTCTGGGCGATCACCTTCACCACTTGTTTCTCGGAAAAAGCATTACTCGACTCACTATCGGCAAAGACGACGTACCCTCAATTGGAACCGGCCCTTTACCACAGGGGCCAAGGACCCATCTTCCGTATTCTCCAAAGATTTCGTCATCAGAAATCAGACGGCTCCGCCGATCTTTTGAGACGGAACCACCGCCCTTTTTCATGTCTTATCACCAGTCTTTAATGTTTGCCCTGTAGTGACACCAAGCCCTTGATAATCCTTGGTACCCACTCATCATGGGAGAGACCGATCGTAGTCGTGTCCCTCTCTCCGTAGACCCCATCCCTGAGTCGGAGAAGACTCACCTGCTCGGCCCGGAAAGACAGGATGGCAACTCTTCGTTTTCAACCCCAGACAACTTTCTTTCATCCTCAACTCCCCGAAAGAATGGCTACGAGCCAATGACACCTGGTGTCGACATGGACCTTTCGACCCTCAACGGCGCCGCACATAACCAGAGTACCGCCCCATCTCAACTTGACAAATCGAGCTTCTACGGAAGAGACCCCTTTGGCATCTCAGTGGAAGGTGCTATCAACCAAATCTCATTCGCACGTGTCCCCGTCGGTTCGAAAAGCAGCTCGCCTGCCACACCACGTTCCAACAAAGGCCTTCTGGGCACACCAAAGCCTGGACCTGCATCACCACGAACAGAACGCCGCGCCGTACCGTTGTCACCCGAATCAGACCAGGACATTATCTCGCCTCTGCAGTCACCTTGGTCGTCTCCAGACGGGAAACGCAGAGCAAATTCAAAAGGCAAAACATCAATGGCGTGGGACGATCCGCCAAAGTCTTCAAAGCCATGGCCTCTCATAGAGGCCGAGGAAATGGGTGACCTAGGTCAAGCGACTCCAGGTAAGGATGAGAGTCGGCAACAGGTCAGGCCACTTCAATCGACGTCTGGTCAAAGTTCGACGAGACGGGATGAGAATTCTCTTGAAGAGCCTGATCCAATGGATGACGAGGAGGCCTTGTATAAGAGATTCAGTAAGCCGTACTCTGTACATCTGATCCATGTTGAGTGACTACTAATACACACTCGAGGCCGTCCTCCGACTTACTGTGACTCGCGGAACGATGTGCACAGGAAGCAGCATAACTGGCTCTCGGTGTCCATCTTGATTCTGTCGTTCTACTCCACAGGACTGAGCTGCCTCTGGCTCGTTGTGGCTATTTTACAACCACGCTGGGGTCCTCAAATCTCATCAAGCGGTGGTATTCTCCCGTCGACAGCGTCTTTGGTATGCGCAATGTTTGCCAAGACGATTGAAATATCTTTCGTGACTGTGTTTGTCACCTTTATCGGCCAGGTATTGACACGTCGCGCATTTGTGAGGAGGTCAGAGGGCATGACCTTGGCTGAGATGACGATGAGGAACTGGGTTATTGTGAGTTGAGATTGCGTCTTGCTGCCGGATAATTTTAACATTGAGTAGCAACCTGGATTCCTTATCACGCACTGGGAGACGCTGCCGTATGCCGGTATGACCATTCTAGGAGTAGTTTCTCTCGTTGCAACCATTGCTTCAACGTTTTACACGACTGCGTCAGACGCCATGATCACCCCAAAGCTTAAATTTGGCGATTGGGAAACCAAGACATTGAGCGGCTATGTTTTGGCGTCCTACATGAACCCGCCTTTTGCGCGTGAAACCTGCCCGACACCACTACGAGAAAGTGACCCATTGGGTGTTGATATTGCTGGGAATGCTTGCCTCGAAGTGCAATATGCCGGTCAATGTACGTCAAGGTCCTTCCAATGAAAGCTTCTTGTTTAAGTGATACTGACAACTTGTGTGAAGCATATCGCAACTTGGTTTCGTTCCTAGGTGATTGGGAAGCCATCAATCGCAATGGAACAAGTGCTGCTGTTGATGTTCGACACCGCCCCGTAGGAACGTCGTTGCTGTACGACAACACAACGCTCACCTCTGCTTGGATTGAGACGACCCATAGCAACACGACTGAACAACACGAGCGCTTCAACAGGATCATCAACAATGTGACGCTCGCAATGCCCCATCCGAGTGTTTACGATGCAGCAACAAATCCAGTCAACAAGATTCTTCAGCCGAATGACTTGTCGGGTGTTGGAGAGTACGGCATCAGAGCGAGCGTGGTCTCTCCCGCACTGAACGTCATGTGTGTCAACATGTCTCCCGAGGAATTGGAGCCACTGGTCTATACAGAGTGGCCCATAGGCAAGGTGTTGTACGACGACACGACAGTTCCAGGACAGAGAACCGGAAAACCGGACTGGGAGAAGTATGTTCCCGGCGTTTCGGAAACGGAGTGGCTGAATCGAACTTCGGTAGATGGCATCTTTCGCTGGGGCGAGGACTATGGGCGACGGCCGCCAGTGTTCCCGCTTGTAAGTGATCTCGGTGAGCAAATAGAAGAAGAAAGGGCTGACAGCAACCGACAGTACCCTGCGGACTACAACATGATAACCAACACATCGGTAGAGAGTGACGCCATATACATCCTCACAAAGTCGGCGTCTATTGCAGATTATACCCTTTGTGAGATGAGATCATGGGTGTCACCCAACTGCTCAACCCACTTCAACATCTCGGGCACAGCAGGAGCGCATATGCAAGTACATTGCGATGACCCCGATGATACAGACAGCTACACCAATGTCCACACAGAAGTCACGGAATCCACCCCCGTGACGGACTGGAGGGCAAGGAACCCCCAACACCCCCTTCTCATCGTCACTTACTTACCTTTGTCTCTATGTAGAATATTGCGGATCAATGGCGTCTGTCAATGGACATCAACGGCGGAGCCCAAAACAACAACGCCTCCAACGCCCGCATTCTTACCCAATTCGTCCTCCAAGAGCCACAGCTCAACCCCCTCCTCCCTTCGATAGCCGAAGCCCTCGCCGTCTACGCCTCGTCAACCCTCATCATCGGCGGTCTCAACACCCCTTTTGAACACTACTGGCGCCACGAAAAGATGCAGCTCGGCGCGCCGGGCAGCCTGGACCCCTTCAACGCCTCGATCCGCACGCAGGAGTACACGTCGGGCCACAGTGCCGAGTGGCAAAAGTGCTTCTACCTCGTCCTCGCCCTCGTCTTCGTCATCAACGTCATCTGCCTCGCCTACCTCCTCTCCCGGTCCGGCCTGGTGACAGACTTCACGGAGCCGCAGAACCTGTTTGCGCTGGCCGTCAACTCGCCGCCGAGCGAGCAGCTCAAGGGCAGCTGCGGCGGCGGGCCGGTCAAGAGGGATCTGGTTGTGCCATGGCGGGTTGGGTACACGAGCGGTGCGAATCACTACTTTTTCGAAGAGGCTAACGACAGGCCGTGGCGCGGCAAATATTCTAAGCAGGGCTTGTCTGCTGACACGGGGTACAATGGACAGGAGCGGAGTAGTTATAAGAGGCTGAGCACGAGGAATACATGGTTCTAAGCGGAGGTCTGCTGGCTGTGCTGGCTTTAATAATGTGTCTTGGCATATGGTCTTTTGGATACGAATAAAGTAAAAGGGCTGGAGGTAATGTGTTTTCATGTAGGATACCTTGGTTTGGATAGTGGCAGCCTGGACGGGCAACTCTTTTTGCCTGTAGTAGTTTCAAATGATTGAGCGAAGCACCTTTGCTTCAGACAATTGCCACCTGAGTATCCATACGACCATGTCCATCTGTCGTTCATTGAGATGTATACTCCGTACCGGAATAGGACTCTGCAACTCAGTCGTCACAACTTGTTATTTTCAGTGAGTCTTGGCGGTTTAGTATTTGCCTTCAGGGCCTGTGCTCATCGCCCCTCCACATACTCTGCACTCACCTTGGAGTTTTAGAGTCTCAGTCGTTTGCAGTCTTGAATTGGAGCTGTCACCTCCCGGCATGAAGCGCAAATTTGGGCGGCATTAATCGCACGCGCCCACCGGGGCCGACAAGGTGGTTCCCGGCAATCGCCCGGCGGCGTTCGAGAAAAGGAGGCTGTGCAAAACGTCCTCCAAACTTGAGGTGGAAGGTTTCCCTCAATCCTCCTGAAGCCTGTATTCGTAGGTCACCAGTCATGATTTGGCCAACTGGCATTTCTCGGCGAAGAAATGCCTTACCACCCGGCCGCCCCTTCCCCCCCCCCTTTTTATCATTTACTATGTACAATCTATGGGTCTGTAGTAGTTAGTGTAGAAACTCTCAGAGATTCCTTGGTTCTGTGATGATCACTAGCAGCCTCGCCGCCCATCCTGTTGCTCATGCGGGACTAGCGATTGTGGCTTATCCTCACCTCTTCATCTCCACGCCAAGCATTCTCGATCAATCAAAACCACGGACATGAACGGGGGAGGAGGAAGCTAACAAATACACAGCAATGCTTGGGGTATACGCGCCAAACTCTAAAAAGATTGTACAGCAAGCACAGCATTCAGCGCTCAGGGCACGGTACTCGGTACAGAGAAACCCAGGGCAACGAAGAAGGAACATATCGAACAAATAATCCTTCGACGCTTGCAGCGGCATCTGTGCGAATCGAGCAGCAGCGGCAGCAGTCACCACGTTTGGTTGCCTTCTGTTTTGATTTCTTGGCATCAAAGCATCGCCCGTGGCTTCTTTTTTTTCTCAACTCTCACCTTGACATCTACTTGGCCAGCAAGGCAAGTCAGGTACGGATACATGTACGGATATTAAAGGTATCTGAAGTTATCCACCAATTTGCCTCTCGCCTCGCTTCCCTTTCCTGCCTTATCCACAATTATTTCGTCGCTGCCAAGTACGGATATCTCACCCTGCAGCTGGCTGTAGATCTCTCTGCATCAGCTGCATCATCTACCTACCTCATCCGTTCTTTCTGCTATCTGCGAATATTCGTCCTTACTTCACACACGTAGAGAGACTTGGTTGCATCTCGTGCACCGCCTACCGCATCAACTCCAACCTCTTCTCATCAGTCACAATACCCAGGCCCTTGGTCTTGGCATCCGCATAGCGATATTGGCATCCCATCACACTCAATCAGCCCGCGGTTGCGAGGCACTCTTTTCATTCCAGATTTATACCAGTCGGCTCGGCATCTCGCCCGCACCCAAACGACAAAGGAGGTCCAAGAGCTTTGTTCAATTGAATCATCCGTACAACACGATTCCTTGCCCCAATCTTGTACGGACACCTACAAGAAACAGAAGAACGAGGGGGAGGCAAAGGGGGGCCAAGCTAAACCGGACCGCCACCAAAGCAATTCCGCTTGCAACATTCCTTTCCCCGCCCAATCTCTCTCCCTTTATTGAGGAATGCCAGCCCTTTAACTTTGGCATCATCAACATCTGCGTCCCGGCTCTTGCGATTGAGAACAAGCCGACCGGGGCCAAAAAGAGCGTCTGACATTTGACACGGATTCAAGTCTCACTTCTCGTCTGGCAATTCCGAGCCCGAGAGAGTAAGATAAGCTCCGCTTGAAGTACCAATCGAGTAAGGGAAAATGCGTACGTATCTATACCGCCATCTATTCCTGAGGTTCTCTGTCATGCGCTTCTCTCGGTACCTATTCTAACAGCCAGCTAGCTTACTACGCCAGAACCAAAGGCCGGACCCAGGAAATCCCGCCCGACGGCAGCCGGTCTCCCCTTCCGGCCTCCGGAGCCCGGTCACCGCTGCCGCCCCGGACACCTCTCGGTGAGTCTCCGGCGTTCAGCCCTACCCACTTGCCTAATCCTACCTTTTTGCCATCTTCTCTTCTTCCCGGTCCTCCACTTATTTCTTCCACCTACACCCACGCACTCGCGTTGATGTCCCCACCACCTCACCCACCGAATCAGTCCATCATATAACCTTTCTTGCATGCTCTAGCATGTATCTCTTTTATTTCTCGAGGACTACCACGAAATCTCATGCTGACAAAGGACAAAAGGCCGGCCATCTTCCCGGTCATTACCAGACCTAAGTGCTGATGTGCGAAATGCTCTCTCAGCACCAAAGCACGACGACGTCAACTACCGCCACAGCTTCTGGACCCGCTGCCGCTGCTGCCGTCGTTCACGGAGCGCCATCGATCTGCTCCGTCGGATTGTTCTCGTGCCGCTAGCCGACTTATTCTGGTTCCTCGAGGAAGCAGCTGAGTCTGTGCCGCCCGTCATTCCGGCGCTCATCGCTTGCATATTCCTGTTGGTGGCACTGCCTATGCTGATTGCATGGGATTTTCTCTGAGCGAGCGGTTGTGTATTTAAATGAGGTAATGCTTGACACACTTTTGATTGCGTGTGCGCCTGCAACAGAAGACTTTAAGAGGGCTATCAAAGACAGCATGGAATGGAGGTGGGAGACCGTGTGCTACGATAGACTGTACCGACTGACTTTTTTTATTACCATGGCGCAACGACGAGCGAACGGATGAAACCCGGGACATACCCAGATTTTGTATTTCTATATTTTTCTACATAGATATAGCACAGTAAACACGCCTCTGTGCTCGTAAACCATTATTGTACTAGCTGGGAATCATGAACAGGACTTCGTGTCTCGTCAAATACTATCGTAACAAATGTCAAAGGGGTTAATCAACCCCCCAAACATGGGCATACTCGCCGCGTCCGCAGGCCAGTGCCAGATCCTCGTAATCTCCTCCATCAACTCCTTATTCGCCGCTTCTGCGCTCCCGACGCCACCGCCAGCAGCAGCAGCCGGAGTAGTGGTAGTAGTCACGCCGCCATCCTCTGCTCGAACGCGACTCTCGTACCAGTCCTTGATCCACCTCATCTTGCCAATCAAGTCCTCGCACATGGAGCCCCTCGCATCGATCTCGCTCCCTCCATTGATGTCGTCCCAGTCGAATTCAAGGGTATTGTATGCCCTACCACAATCACTCCCACCACCAGTAGCACCGCCGCCTACCCCGCGAACCCACGTCTCCTCCTTTAGCCGGCCCATCCTCTCCCTACCCACCTGCAGCACCCGCCCAAGAAACGCAACCAGGTTCTCGCAGATTTCGGCAAACTTGACATCCGTGCGGGCGCGGGAGAGGTCCCACCCCGGGACGCCGTGGAGGATCAGCAGGCGCGTGGTGACGGCGAGGACGCCTTGGGCCAGACCCATGCTGACGGAGGTGCGGTAGACGTAGGCTTCTGGGGGTAGGGCGAGTGTTGCGTCAAAGTAGGCTTTTGCTTCGGAGAGGGCTGCTTGGAAGTAGGTTGTGCGGTTGAGGGTGGTTGTGGTCGTGGTGGAGTTGGTGGTGGTATTTTGGAAGGCCGCTGGGGAGTATAGAGATGATGGTGATGAGGAGAAGGGGGATTTTGTTGCTGGTTCGTAGAGTTGGACTAGGAGGGCTTTGTGTTGGAGGTTGAGGTATGCTGTTGTGGAGTATTAGTCTTGTGTTTACTTTATTCTCTTCATCTCTGATAAGGGGGGGGGGGGGGGGGTTCCACATATGGTCGTCATGAAACTTTGAAAGAAAAGAAGGGGAAGAGAAGGAAATAATTTACCATAATAAGAATCCCGCGGATCAAGGCCCTCCAAGACATCTTGCACTTCCGCGCGGATCCTCCCCACCTCCTCCTCGAACCCGACCCCCATCCCCCTACCCATTCCGCGCTCGCAATCCATCACGGGACCGAACCCGTCGGTGAGCCGCGCAGAGATGGCAGCCATCTTGAACATCCTCGCCGCCATACGGTCTTCCAGGCTCCCTGACGCGGCCAGGTTCTCGTAGCAGATATCTAGATACCCGAGGCTTTGCCCCTGAGAAGAAGAAGAAGAGTTTGAAAAAGACGTACGCCCGCCGCCATCTGAGCCGAGACAGTGTAGGAGGGGATTCTGCTTGCGGGCGAACTGCGCGCAGTTGGACGTGACGACGCAAAAGAGTCCGAGAAAGGTGCGCTGCTCCTCGAGGGTGTGGTGTTCTGTGGCGCTGAGGGTTGCCTTGTTGGTGAAGCAATCTTCTGGTTCTTGTCGCTGTTGTTGCTGCTGCTGCTGCTGCCATTGTTGTTGGTAGGGGTGTTGGTAAGGGTATTGGTAAGGGTGTTGTTGAGAACCTCCCGGGCGGCAGGGAGAGGGTTGAAGGAGGGAGCGCGGGGGTTTGGTGATGCCCAGGCTGTGGGCGTAGCCTAGGGCCGTGTATACTAGGCGGGTGATTTGCTTGTCGAACCAGTATCTGCATTCTGCCCTGTTTTATCACATAAAATGTCAGTGGCAAGCTTCTTTTGGGGTTTGTCTTCAACAAGAGACCCCGGCAGACGCCGGTGAGGGAACATGACATAAAGTTGAAGAGCGGCGGCAGAAGATAGAGGGGGGGGGGTTAAATACTAACCACAGGATGATAACCAACATCCCCTGCAACAAATCCAAAACCCCTTCCTCCTCGAGCATCATCCGCGCCCCCATCTCAGCCAACAGCTCGCGGTGCATCGCTTCAGCCCTCGCCTTCCCCGCCGGCGCGGCGGCGAGCATGATGGCGCGGAACAGGAATGGCTTCTCGCGCGCGAGCCTCTGAGGGGACCCCGAGCCCGGTTCCACCGAGGGCCCGTCGACCTGGATAAAGGGGAAGTTGGGGACAAAGTTTGTGCGAAAGTCGGCGAGGACATTGGATGCTTGGGACCAGGTTAGGCCCAGGGGCGGTTTTATTGTCGTTGTCGTTGTTATGACCAAGGATGAGGACGAGGGTGAGGAAGAAGAGGAGGAGGAGGAGGAGTGGTGGTAGGAGGGGAGGTTGTGGGCTACGGGGCCTGGTTGATGTCTTTGGATTAGGGGTGCTGGGTGTGAGTCTGGGTGTGGGTGTGAGTGTGAGTGAGAGGGAGGTGAGGAGGTTGAGGGGGTTGAGGTCGAGGTCTCTGCTGAGGGTGTCGATGCTGCTGGGGACTTTTCTGGTGTTACGAGGTGGGCTATTTGCTGTTCTAGTGTTGCAACGCGACTGTGATGCTCATGTTAGTAGAGTTCTGAGGTCAGGGCCGTTGTTTTCCCGAGATGCCACTATCCCCAAGGGTGCGTTCACATCCAACTTATCAAAACTTTGGCGAACGAGATTAGGGACCCATGAGGGACAACACTTACTTGACCAGAGGTTTGATCTGCCGCGTCCTCCTGATACCCCTCGTCTTGGCCGAGCAGTCAATCTTGAGCCGCTCACATCTAAAACCCCGTCACACCACGTCAGTTCCAGTGTCACATGGGTTTTCCAACTCTTAAAGATGGAATTTCTTCACCACGCCTTGTCGAGGCAGTGAAAGGAAGCACTTACCGGTCGCAGAGGTGCCGACGGGCATTCTCCTCGCGGAAGTTACAGCGGGCCTTGGCCCGGGTACACGGCGCGCAGGCGCGCAGGCGGCGCGGGGGGCTGTCGGGTCTCGGGGGCGGTGGTTGTGGGTCCATCCCGAGGGTATCGTAGATTTTGATTTCTGGTTCTGGATATGGTTGGAGGTTGTGGTCCGATATCCCTTGCTTGGCTCCTCTTGAATAATATAGATTGGCGGCGGAGGGTGACGTTTTGAGACTGAGCACTTATGCTCGAAACACGCGGCAAGAACATGTGAATTCGTCAAATAGTGGGACGACCCGGGAGATCTCAGAACGAAGTGCTTGGTCCTATATACGACGCGGACATACGACCGACAATAACAGAGCTGAGGCTTCGACTACACAGTGAGGTCGTCATCACGGATGAACTCCAGGTTCGTTAATCCGGTCCGGGATAAGAATTTGGTATCTCGGGTTTGTAGTTGCTAGGAAAATGGGGGTCCCCCGGCGTCAGCACTAGCAGATTCAAACCCGGTGACCTGGCCCAGGTAAGCGATCCTTTCGGGTAGAAGGGCGTGTAAGCGCGACGCAAGTCCCAAAGATACAGCACCTAATAACCTGCCTCACCTACTATGAATGCGCCTCTGGAATGTCTCCGTACTAGTAGGTAAGCAATGAACACCAAGACACAAAAGAGGCGCCTTGTCTCAAAAGTCCCACGTGTGGCTGCATGCATCAGGGACGCGGCGCGATCGATGCCAAGTCCTTTTTCGGTTTGATTTCTTGCGACGGGGGTGTCCTGTTCACTGGGCCGAGAAAAAGATTAGTCAGTCGCATACTCACATCATGCCATCTGATGTCCGAGTTTTATCGCTTCCTTGCGGTGTTCAAGATGAAATAAACGGAGCTGGGACCGTTTCTTGCCAAAAAAAAAAATTGGAAGAGAAGGGTGGGTTATTACAGCCAGGCCCAATTTTCCGTGGCACTTACTAACAGAAGGCAAGGAAGGCCTGTGTTAGTGAAAGAAAGACCTTGAATAAACAATTCGGTAAACACACGAGATGTCAATAATGGCCGAGAAATGATTGGATTGCTTTGCGCAAGGTGAAATAGGTATCATTAAAATTGATATGAAATAGGTATCTGCGGCGTCGCGATTGACATACAGCCGCCTCCTGGCGCATTAACCCCCGTGTAGTCGTGATACTGCCATGTACAATCCCGGATGTCTTTCTTCAGTACACGCCTTTCGTGAGACCCCAATCCTGCAGACTATGACGAAGTGTCGAGAATCGAAACCGACGATCGGTTGGTAGTGAGTGATCCGTATGGTGTGTGTATGTGTCGGACGTGAACATGATTGCTGTAGGCAGATAGTATTGGCTTCTTCGCATGTAGCCAGTCGCGACTCTCTCGTCGTACTTCATCATGTCGCATGTGTGCAAGTGACGAGGAGATTCGGCCTGCTACTAGCTTCAAAGCGCGTTCAGCTTGAAGCTTGATTCATTACTTTCCCAGCTCCGCTCCTCTCTTCTAGCCCCTTTGAGAGGTGACGAGGTCTTGCTTATGCGGCCTGAGACTCCTTGGCCTGTCTCTCTGCCTTGCGCCTGGCGAGGCACTTGGAGATCATGAGACCAGAGACTCCGAGGGCGACAATGAAAACGATGCAGAAGACGACGACGACACCAGCCTCCTTCTGAGCCCAGTTCTGGCGCTTGGCGAGCTGGTGTACGGCGTCGCGGGCGACAAGGGTGTTGATGGCAGGCATTTTGACGGGAGGTGAATTGAGGTGAGATGAATAGAGAGTCGGCTGTAGGATGAATAAGAGGCTGGTCAGCGGATGAGAGTAAGAGGATCGATAAGGCAAAGAAGAGTAGCAAGAATCAAAAAGTCAATTAGAAAGCAATGATGACGAGCGAGTGAGTTAATAAGTATGAGAGGAAAGCTCGTGGCGACTGTTTGCGATGAGTGATTGATGCTTGCCCAATGCGGTCAGGATCCGTAGAAAAAAACACCAGAGCTAGACGTAAGGAAGCTTGTCCAATTGAGGCATTTTATGGAGACCGTCTGTCTTTCTTTTTTAGAGCCTTGTGAGCTTGGATGTGCCCATCGTCATTCCCGGGGTATCCGGCGTTGGCGTCAAAGGGGAGATATCCACATGTTGTTTTTCTTCATGATGTGGTTGTCGGATCCTGGGCGCCGGCGCGAAGCTCGTAGAGATTGTCGCAAAAGACCAATTGGTATTCCAGAGCAGTTTTTTCGCGGAAGAATTGAGACTTGGGAAGATTGCGCATTGAGAAAACCACTTTACCTTTGGTGAGGATGAGAAACAGCTCAAAGTCGGACGATGAGAGTAAGGTGGGGAAAGAAACCTGGTGGCTCGATCGCAGCGACTAGGGGAGGCCGGCTAGAAGTGCAGTTTGTCAGCATCGACGGTACGAAGCTTGGCTTGTGAAGCTGGAACTCATAGAGAGGTCAAGCAGCATAAGAGTGATTACCTTTCTGAGAGGAAGCGGTATCAATGGGGGAAGGAATTGATTGATTATGGGATTGTCGAGTGATTGAGTTGCTGGAGGAGGAAGGATGAGAGAATTAGCAGTGCGAAGAGGAAGGTAAGGTGAGGTAAGGTAAGGTAGGAAGGGAGGGGTTAATGAAGAGGGCGGGCGAGGAAGGAAATAGCTGCTCAAATAGTCGGCTGATTGGCAAGGCGAGCAAGCAATACCTAAGAAGGAAGATCCAATGGTGATGGGAAGGTATTTCCCATTGGATCTGAGCCAGGTATGTACCTCATCAACACAAGGTGGTAAGGCAGGTACTTGAGGTATCTGTATCCGTAGGTAAGAGCTTGACGATGAAAGGCGACGAAAAAGTATCTTCACAGGTCATGGTACTTGGCAGTGTCATCACGTCTGGGCACTCTTTGGTGGTGAACTGCCACCATTGGCATGTCGCGATCCGTACATTACTGTGTAGTGCCTTAGTGTGTAAGGAGTACTCGTGAGGTGTCATCGGCGGTCGCGGTTGCTCTACTAGTGGCAGAGAGAACGGCGCCAAGCGAGCAACAGAAAAAGCTTGTCTCCATGGATGCCGGGAATACGGCAGGGTCATCACAGGCATCCGGTGTGGGGAATCCACGCCTGATCGCTCGAGGTCCCCTGTCATCACCACTTACACTCCTCGCCCGATACAGGGGAGTGAGTGTGATGTGTGTTTCCGTAGCGCAACACTTGCAGCCCGTCTGTTTATCTGCTGGTCCTTTTCTGTTGTACGTCTGTCTCTGTTGCTGCGGGAATTTCTCCATCTCTCACCATCATCAAGCTATCTGGCTGCTTTCCCTCTCATCTCTGGCGTAGGGTAAGGCATTCGCAATTCACAACACTGCCTATTTCAGATTCACCACTAAACGATAGTCCTGAGCCTAGTGCTGTTGCGCACAGAGTCTGCCAGAACTGGGCGGACAATTGGATGACATGGATCATCTCATGGGGCCGGAGCCGGGATAAGGCCCTAGCACACCTCACCCTTCAAGTTCCGGTGGGTTCACAGGGCCACCGGTTCGCCAACCTCCGCCGGGTTGTGGGCTGCATGTTTTCCTACTGATTTTGTGCCTTGCGATATTGGTGTGCCTCAAGGCAGTGACACCAGCTAGGCGGACTCTTGACTCTTTCAAGCTCATAGCTCTCTGTCATCATCACTTGAGCTGACTCTACTGCTTGGCTTAGTCGCTGCCGCCGCCGCCCCTTCATGACGAACATGGCAGTTGCATACTAAGGTATTTCCATCCATGTTTTTGGCCTGGCACTGGTCTTCCGCCCTCACCGATGTTTCCAGGTTCCATTGGGGCCATTGGGAGATTTCTCGGGAATGCCATAGTAGATGAACCGCCGTACCTGGCCGACCAAAGGATTCCCTTGCCATGCTCGCCTCTTGTCGACCGCTCATGCACTTAGTAACCGCCTTCGCGTCCCATTTTTCTTTCTTATTGTTGTCTTTGGTACGGATAGAGAGTACGGCGCTCCGGGTACGGAGCACTCAGCAGCCTTGACAGCACTACTAAATGCTCGAAATTTGCGCACATCTTGGCAAATCACCTCGCCTCGACAGTGACGAGCCTTGGCAGTATCGGCACCTGAGAATGGCTTCAATTCCAAGACTCTTGGATGGGCGAGGCGTATCTGCTAGACGGTCCTCCCCTTTCTCAGGCTTGTCAGACTGCGCCCGGCCAAGCTGCTGCGGACAAGTTGGCAAAGGGTTGGCGACTTGGTCCAATGGAAGTCCATGAGCCTTTTTGAGTTGGGCCAAGAGCTTGCCCGAGTCGGTCATTTGACTGAGCCTCGGCTAAGCAAATAAGATCATCACAGCACTGAGCGCCTACGCAGGGTTGGTTCAATCCAGCCTGAGATAGTATGGCACCTCAATCTGGCACTGAGAAACAGGAACAAACATGGCCCATCACTCATCAGCAGGAGACAAGCACAGGGTTGCAGATGATGGACCCCCATTGCTCCTTTGTCCGTAACATCACGTCTCAGTCCTCGCACGGCAAAAGTAGCACCAACTCATCACCATCGGATCGGGAGTCGCACCTAGTCAGGGCCGATAGCTGCTCGTTCCGCGGTCCAGCCACCCCTCGATCCGCCGCTGCATCGTCCCGTCGAAAACCCTCACCTGATCAGTCATCCAGCATCCATCTTTCCCGTCTTGGGGCCGCCCTTCCCAATCCCTTCGATTCCGTTCGAAGAAGAAGCGACCGTCTCCTTGCAGCGTCACAGCGAGCCCACTGTCGGCATCCTGATTTGATAACAAAAACCTCATAGCAAGCCCGCAATGTAGTGCCAGAGCAGCAAGACTGCATTTCCATCGTAAGATAATCACAGCGAAGCTAGGGTAGGTCAACAAGCTGTTGCCACGGAGCTCCAAGGTGACAAGGCCCCATTCATTCATTCACCGGCCGGGTCTCAGCGCGCAATGAGACACATGGGTAACCTTAGCATCCGTCCAGCCCGAATCCCACCCGCCGCCGCCCCTTCCGCCGCCCCAGCGCGAGTTTCTTTCCTCCTTCATTCGTTTATTATTTTTCAACGGATAGATCCAATCCGGCGCTTGCTGCTTATCGAGATAGAGAGCAAGCTCTT